GTTGAGGCGTTCGGATCCGGGGTGGGCTCCGTATGTTGGCTTAGGGTCTTAGCGCTTTAGGGGTTTAGGGTTTAGGGGTTTAGGGGTTTAGGGTTTTGGGGTTTCGGGTTTAGGGGTTTAGTGGTTTAGGGGCTTAGGGTTTAGGGTCGGGGGACTTAGTAAGTAGGTAAGAAGTACACTTCGAAGTAGCTCAAAGGAGACCCTAAGTGGGGTTATGATACTTATAAGTCTATAAAAAAAACTATTTACTACGTCCCCCGACCCTCCAAGTAAGCTCTAAACTCCTAAACCCTAAACCCTAAACTCCAAAACCCTAAACTCCAAAACCCGAAACAAGTCTATTAAACATACTTGTCTGAAAGCTCCCTTCGCACGCCGGCCTAAGACGGCAGCGAACGCCTCCCGCGAGGACTGGATCGCATTCACGCCCACCTGGGTTCTTGTTAGGGGATTTAATCTAAGTTACCAGAATAAGGAAACCATGTTATTTATTATAGGTCGCGATTATGGTAACTTAAAGTAAATCCCTTAACAAGAGCCCAGCCACAAGTAGATGTTCCACGGAGCCGCCTCAAGCAAATCCCTCTTGGGGTTGAGTGTTGCTTTTTCAGACTACCCTTTCTTCGATCATGGGAGGTTGGGTTGTTACGCCTCCAAAATGAACCCAAAATCCCACAGCCCAAAATGAACCCTAAACCCTAAACCCCAAAAAGAACCCTAGAGAAAAGGGTTCTAGGGTTTTGGTGGATTTGGAGCTGTTTTTTGGGGGCAGGTTTCCATGAACAAGCCTCGCCAGTCAAACCTTATTTTGGCTCTGGCCCTTCCTTTTTGGAATTTAGCTTTGGGGTTTCAGGGCTTAGGGTTTACCCCAGGGGTCCAAAGGACCCAATAATAATGTACTTGGGTTTGGGATAGTAGTTATGTAGGTTAGCATTTGGGAGAGTATATGATTACTAGGTACTTGGACCCTTGGGGTTAGGGCTTTCATGACGGATTTGGAGGGGATCTCGAAACCAGGGTCACTGACTGCCCTTTTTACAAGAATAACGTGATCTGTTGGTGGATCCCGAAGAAGGATGCCACTTTAGAGCTTTGCAGTACAAAGCCTAGAGTCTAACACCCTCCTACGAACCCTCACGCTAAGCCTAAACCATTCTACCTGCTCGGTCGCTGGGATTTAGGGTTTAGGGTTTAGGGAAGTGTAGGTTACAAAGTGGTGCTGTGCAGGGGTTCCATACCACAGAGCTTCGGAGCTTTGCGCCTCGACTACGAAGCACTAAACCCGAAACCCTAAAGCCTCAAACCTAAACCCTAAACCCTCAAGGGTGAGGCACTGTGGCCGCCGCTGTCGGGGTCTCCCCATGTCACCACGGAGCCATCGGCGCGAATAGCTGCAAATGCCGTAGCCTCGGGGTCTGTCTGTCAGGTTTAGGGTTTAGGGTTGAGGGTTTAGGGCTTGGGGTTTAGGGGTTTAGGGTTTAGGGTTTTCTACGGTTTACCGGGTTTCGGCGCTGTAGAAGTCTATGGAAACCCATAAACATCCAAAGCAAACCTACAGGGATGTTGCATCCTAGCTTTGTGGGGCCGACTGCATTTCCGCCAGGTTCCACGTAGCTACGCAATTACTTGGGCCGTAAAGTATGCGTATATAGGAATCTCCGAAAAGTCCAAGTATTCCAAAGCGTTCAAACCACATAATTGGGCACCTGGGTTAAGGGTAGCAGTGTTGTAGGTTAGTATGTCGAGGACTTTTCTGATAGCTGGGTACTTTGATGCTTCCGATATATACTAAAGACTAACTAGCTAGCTGTATGTATGTGTATATGTATGTATGTATATATATATATGATACCTATGTTGTAATATTATGTATACAGCGAGACAAAAAAGTAGAGGTACATGGACCCATACCATTTTGGCGTCTTGATGTTTTTGTCTGGCGCGCAGGGTGCCCAGAAAAGGTTGGAAACCCTTACTACTGAGTCCTACGCCTCAGAAGCCCAACATACGAAACCGCATGCTTGAAATCCCGAAACCGAAATCCTTAAACTAAACCCAAAATTTCCCCCAGACCTACGACGAAACCCCCCTTGCCTGATGGAGCCCTGACAGACTCTTTGTAGCAGAGCCTTTAGGGTTGTTCAAAGGCCCCGAGCGGCAGAGGACTGAAGTTGCCGGACGTGCTTCAGCTGCCCTTCTACGGCACCTCCGCTGGCAAGGCTTTGCCAAGATCTCACCCTACTTGGAGGGTCGGGACGCAGTAGACTTTATATGCACCCTAGACGCGATCCTGATGGGGGTTGTGGTACTTAATTACATGTCAAGTAAAACAACCACTTACTCAGTCCCCCGACCCTCCAAGCAGGGTGCTACATAGGTGAGATGTATTCATAAGGGTCGGCTCGGCGGGTTTATAATGGGTTTAAGGTTTAGGGTTCAGGGCTTTCGTGGCCACCGTTGACAATTCCTATCTCTGTTCTTACTTAGGAGTATATGATGATGCAACGCCCACATAACATATCGCCAGATACGGCCTAGTCAAACACTCCAATAACGAACACACATGCTATGAACTATGCTCAGAGTTCGTGCAGATACAAGTCGAGGACTTCCGCGATGGTGCAATGATGATATTCTGTTTCGATGTACACTTACACTACCCTAAGGGTCCATGTCCAAATAGTATATACTTAGGCCTTAAGTATACTCATATGGATACAGTGACCCTGAGGGTGAAGGATTTTGGACGGTCTGGGTACCTTAACCATAGAACATCCAAGAGCCCGACGTCCGGCCTTGGGGTTTCGTTGGCCGGACCCGGGTGTCGCTGGCCCCACTTTAGAGGGTCGGGGACTTAGTATAAGTACCTAAGAAGTAGACTTTTATAACTGCCTAAAAGAGAGCGTTCCGGGCTAAAAAATGGAGAGCCTGTTAAGCCGAAGCTTAAGGGTTCAGGCTTGTTGTCTAGCTACTTGTACTACATAGCAGGAAACAGCTGGCAGGCCTGAAGCAACAAACACCGGAAACCTGACTAAGGAACCTTGGGCCTCTATTTGGGCTCTTTCTATGTGCACTCATGTTTTGGTGTTACAGGAGCAGGGTTCCTTAACAAGGTTCCTACGTGACCGTCAGCAGGAGCTCTCTGTACTCAAGCTACTTCTCCAGGGCATCAGCACAGAATCTCCCCAAACCAAGCTGATGCGTATAATACTGCAAAGGTGCTGCAGTCGCCACCTTCATCGCCACAGCCCCAGGATATGACAGACCCGTCGCCCAAGATTGCAGCAAAGGCATTGAGGCTTGACTTGATCTGCCGAACATCTTTCAACTGATCTCGAACAGCATCGCTGTCACCTCCTGAATCAGAATCTCCCCATGTCACGACGGATCCGTCCCTCAGTATGACAGCAAATGCTCGTTCGGTGGCGGCAATTTGATGCACGCTCCTTGGCTGCTTGCGCAATCTCCAAGACACCTCTCGAAAGCGCATTCTTTGACCTGTTCTTTGACTACTACTGGCACTGAGGCATCGTCGGATATATCTGTGACTCTGTGCGTATACATACAAAAGCACAACCAAACATACATACATACATACATACATACATACATACATACGTACATACATACATGCATGCATACATACATACGTGCATGCGTACATGCATACATACATACATAAATACATACATACATACATACATACATACATGCATACCTACCCACCTACCTACCTGCCTACCTATCTACCTGCCTACCCACCCACCGACCTACCTACCTACCTACCTGCCTGCCTGCCTACCTACCTACACATGTACTCAGGCGAAGGAGCAAACATACACACACATGTCTATGACCCAAGCTACTCCTTTGTCAATGGTCCAATGGTATAGTAAATTCACGAGGATACGTTCACGCGGGCTGGTTTTTGCTTTTGGAAGCAGATTGTGGTAAATGTGCGAACTTGCAGTACCTGTGCACCACCACGTTCTCCTGCACATGATTGTGCATGCATGAATGCCTGTGCATGCGTGTGTGCAGGCAGGCATGCCTGGATGGAGAAGCAGCTGCTCACGTGCATGTTGTTCTTGCCGGCGAGTACGTATGAATGCAAGCAACATGTGTTTGCGCAAAGATGGCTGTTAGCCTTTCAACTTATCGAGTTGCTACTTCACAAACCTCCACTCTAAGTCAAGGGTCTTCAAGTGCTCTTGGACAGAAGAACTGTCTCCACCAGCATATTCATCACCTGAGTTCTGGAGCGTAGTACTCGCATACTGAGCTGTTTTGGGAACTCTTTCAAGAGTAAATGCTTCAGTCCTCCTCAGAGATGTAAAGTGACTTAAGATGTACGGATATGGTTATGGTCGAGAATGCATTTGGCAAATGAAGCCTCGGACACGTGGAGCCCTCTTGAAATCGTTGTGTACAATGTCGCACTCTGAAGCTACCTTTCGTCTCCATTGTAGTTCCTTTTTGGGGGTTACCTTTTAGGATCCTTAGTATAAAACTGGTTAAACCAAAAAAAGGAACTACAACGCAGACTACAGGTACCTGAAGCAAGTGACCCCAGGTTACCACAGATCCATCGCCCAGGATGGCTGCAAAGCTGCTGCCCGTAGATTGGATCTGCTGCACATTCCTCCGTGGTCCAGTTCTCATGCCAGGAGAAAAAGTACCCTAAACCCCCAACCCTAAACCCTAAAACCCTACCCTTCCAGTTTCGGCGGCTAAGATTCCAGAACCCTCAACCCAAAACCCAAAACCCTAAACCCTAAACCTTTAAACTCCTCAACCCTAAACCCTAAACCCCTAAACCCCTAAACACCTGAAGTAAGTAAAACCCTAAACCCCTAAACCCCTAAATACCTGAACTACGTTCTCAAACTCAGCATCTAAAACCCTAAACCCTACCTAAACCCTACCTGAACCTTAAACCGTAAGTTCTCAAACTCAGCATCTCAGAGTCTGCAGTCGATCGTGCGCGGCGCGACTGTCCCCGCCAGAGCGGCCCTGAGTGGCTGCACTCTCCGAGTTCAGGGTTTAGGGCTTAGGGCTTAGGGTTTAGGGAGCGGCTTCAGGGTTTAGGGTTTTAGGGTTTTGGGTGTAGGGTTGGGGTTTTAGGTTTTAGGGGGTTTGGGGTTTAGGGGTTTAGGGTTAATGAACATTGCATCTACAGCTGCTCAGGATCTTGCCAACCGCCATGGACTGCATCCCAAGTCCTGCATTGGGCCGCTGCTGGAAACCATGTAGGTGATAGGGTTTAGGGTCTAGGGTTTGGGTGATTCTGGAAAACCTAAAACCATAAAGCCCTAAACCCGAGAGAGCCCACTTTACAGGCTGAAAAGCTGGGGGGGGGGGGGTATGCAACATATTTTTGCGAAAGGCAGAGTATAGGGGCCTTAACTAGAACAGGGCAAGGCTCAGAAATCTAAACCCTAACCGGGGAGTCCGAAAATCTGGCACCCGCGATACCGAAGCCTCATGCAACCCAGTAGAACTCATACCAAAAGGTGAAGGTTTGGAGGGAGGGTTGTGTTGAGGAATCTTGGGTGTGGGATTTTGAGGTTCGGGGCTGTAGATTGCTTTGAGCGCCAGGGCTTTAGGGCAACTTAGGGTAAACTCCCTTTGCAGAACGCCTGTAAATCCTTTAGAGAACCATTTAAAACGAACCTGAAAGATCTTGTATAGCTTTCCGAACCATGCCAGATCAGGCAAAAAACCCTGAACGTACTACAACGCTTGCGGAAGGTCCCTTGACAAACTCTTATTCAAGATCCATGGGTCCGTTAAAGGTCCTGTTAACGAAGTCTTCTGGGATCTTTAACCCTAAGGCTCAAAATGCCCAAAAGCCTCATATAGTTAGTATGGTCTTTGGGCCCAAAATCCTTATAATATGAGTTCTTCGAGCCTTAGGGCAAAGGACCCAAAGCCCAGGCAGAATCTCCTGCGAGGTTGCGACCCTTGCGACGTTGGAAGCTCAGGGCGGAGAAGGCGCACCTCGAACAACCGAACATGAATTTAGGGTTTAGAGGGTTTAGGGCAAAAATATAACGCTACATGGTTCAATATAACATCATAAAGCAAACTATTTTAATAAATAAATAATAAACAGATATTATATATATATATATGAGATTATGTGACATACTAGAATGTATTCTAAAAAAACATGATGTAATATTCAATATGATACATATATATATATGTACATGTATATACATATATAGCCCAAAATCTTTTTGAGATCCACAACAATGGGTTCATAAGATCTTTCGTTGGGGGTAGTCTCGTACTCGATGAAAGGCTTGGGGTTTAGGATTTAGGGGTTTAGGGGTTTAAGAGTTTGGGGTTTGGGGTAGCATTGTAATTTAGGATGGCAGTTGCGCCAGTTGGCAGGCATTGGTTATGATAGGTTGAGGGCTCTGTGCCGTCAGGGCAGGATCAATCACCGGGTTGTTAGCTTCAAAGCATTCTGAATGGGGTTTAGGACTCAGGCTGCACGGTTTGGTGTTTGGGACACCCATAAACGCCAGAAAAGATACCATAAAATCCAGAAAGCCACGCGATCCTAAAACGCAAACCCTACCTGGACCCTAGAAAACCTTTCTTTCCATCTAGGGTTCCTTATTGTGACTTCCTTGTATAAGTCCTTCTTATTTCGGGCCATCCTCCACTCTGAACCAGCAAAGCCAGGAAACCCCAGTTAAACCGCACCGCAGAGCCCTGAAGCCCAAAGACCTGACCACGAAAAGCACACCAAGGAACCCCAATGCCCTAGAGCGTACTATAGGGTTCTACAAGAGGCTATTGTTGGGTCCCCCTTGAAAGGACAAAGCCTCATACCACCGAAACTGAAGACCCATGGACAAAGGAAGAGCTAGCGGTTTAGGGTCTAGGGATGTGTAGGGTTTTTCGGGTTTAGGAATAGCAAGGGCTGGTGCTTAGGCTTAAGACAAACTTGAAACCCCTACCCCGCTTAATTTCCTAAGTATGCAAGCAGGCGTTGGCTTCGACAAGCGGAGAACCGAATAAAATCTCGAAAAGTCGAACAGTCGAAAAGTTTTCGACTTTTCACGCTTTTCTGTGAGTTTCGCACTTTTTGGTGCTTTTCGATTTTTCGACCTTTCGAGTTTGTCAGCTTTTTCGCAGTTTTCTGTACTTTCCGGGCTTTTCTGCTTTTCGAAGGTTTGCTTTTTCTGCGTTTTCGCAAGTTTCTGTAGGTGTTCGGGCGCTTCGGCTGTTCGCGCTTTTCTGGGCGCTTGGAATGTTCGGTACTTGTCGGCTTCGTCGATGGGTTTTCACACAAATTCTCCGTACCTTCCAGGCGTAGAGCGCAGCGGCAAGCCCGGGGCTAGATTGCGGGGGCAGGCCAAGAGGTTGGGATGGATAGGGGTAAGCAAGGGCTGGCCATGGATAAATCTGTGAAAATGTGGGTAGGCCAAGGGCTAGGCCCGGGAGGCAGCAGTAAAACGAGTGGCAGTTGGCAGTAGTTGTAGTAGTACTGTCACTCGTCGTCATGGCATAACTTTCAGCAGAATCGAGCTTAATGGCAAACTTTGCTGCATGTCAAACCATTTCGGGTTCCGACCAAGCTACCAATAAGTAGCCCAAACAAGCATATTTTACTGAGTTTTCGGATCGGGCGAACTCTTCAAGTGTGCTCTTCCAGTGTTACTTGACAAGTTTGGCTTTTCCAAAATTTTCCAGCAAACAACAAACGTAGCCAAACCATATGGGTGGTTGTCAAAATTTGGGGTCCTTTTTTTGGGTTCCCTAAATGATAGGTGCCGTATTATATTAAGGACCCAAAAAGGGACCATCATTTTGACAACCACCCATATGGAATTGCTGTTCGTTGCTCAGGTCTCGGGAGCCGCCCCGTTGCAGGTCTTTCAATCCATCCAGAAGTATAGCAGGAGTTAGGGTTTAGGGTTCAGGGTTTAGGGCATAAGCAGTTGTCTATTGCGCGGCTTTTTGGGATACTTCTGCTGATTTCCAACAGGCTTGGGAACCGCAGACTCGCAAATTTCAGTGATTTGTTTAGAAAAAAACCCCCAACGAACGGAGCCATCCGCATTTGGGTGTGTGTTTTTTTCCGATTCTTTTGGGACCGTAGAGGCAAGTTTCAATGACTTTTTGATGGGCATCGTCGGAACACCTGAAATGAACGAAGCCATGGCATTTTTGCTTCTTCTGGTAACACTCAATGATTTTTGAGCATCTCGTGGCTCCGACAGCACCAAATTGGACCTATGTTTCGGGTCTGGAGCCACCAAACCAAGTGTCAAGCCTGGCAGCGTCTGAAGCAATGTCGGGCTCATCCAAGAAATATAAGTATCCAAAACATAGATACTTTTGGTCGAGCTGGGTCTTCGGGTTAGGCGAACACCTCAGAAGCACTTGTCTCAGTCATGTTTGACGAGTTGTTGAGCGTGGTTATGGATTTTTGACGTTCTCGATCGTTGTCGACATTTCGATTTGTTGACTTTTCGACTTGTAGCCTTCAGCTGTACTGTTCGACTTTTCGCGGTTTTTGACTTTTCGACCTTTCGCGTCTAGCTGCACATTTCGACTTTGCGCTTTTGGCTGTGCTTTTCGACTCTTCGCGTTTTTTCGACCTCTCGCTTTTTGCTGTACGTGTCGACGTTTCGCGGTTTCTTGACTTTTCGCCTTTTCTGGTTTTTCGTGCAAAATCCTTATCCAGCGCCACTTTTCGATGTTTCGCTTTTCGGCTTTTCGGGTGCCGTTTTCTCCGTTGATCTGCGCCAACAGCCACTCGGCAACACAGTCCACTTAACACCCAGCCCTACACCCTAAACCCTTAACACCCAGCAGAAATCCAGGCCCTGCACCCTGTCAGAAGTCCCGTCAGGAGGGCCTCTCTTAAAGGCAAAGCTCAACAGCCACAGGGAAAGAGCACAGTTGGTTATGGAGGGCTTTGTACAGGGTTTTCAGGGTTATATAGCGGGGGGTTGCATAGAGCAATACATGGTATTTGAAGGGATTGTATATGGTCGATATTCGTCCCCGAACAGGACGGTATCTCCCCTTCAAGAAGTGCTCCCAAATGGTGTGAAGGGGGTTTCTTCAAGCAAACTTGATGCGTTTCAATCTTATAAACTCTAAACCCTAAGCCCTGGGGCGTGGGGATTGTAGGGGTCTGATCTTCGAGATGCTTCACAGGTTTCGTACATTTAGCGTATGCCTTAAGCTACCATAACCTACTTGTTGGTAGGTTCGAATTAT